AAACATAAGAATGGAGGAACACTACAGCAGGCCTACTGGCAGATGATATGTTCTTCTAATATCCATCCCCTATAATCAAATATTTTCCCAAAATATTCTTGATGAACTAACACAAAAAAAAGTGACAACACACAGGAGTCGTGCAGTCATCGGGAGGACGAGAGATGCCCAATTATAATGCACATAACCTGGAAAAGAATTTAAGAAAACAGTAAGTGTCCGAAGGATATCTGCTATCCATAGTTTCTTGTTTAGCTGACAGTTACATACTACAGACACAGATAAACACAGGCGGACAGTGGATGAAGTCCAGTGGCATACCGCCTCTTGCTGCGCGTCAGACACAGAAAGAAAGCTGACATCAGATTGATTAGGCTACAAGACCTGTTGATGAACGGTCGTTTGAGCCGACAAGTAGTTAGAAACACACTATCTCCATTGATGCATCTTCATGAAGTTCACGACTGGACTTCATGAAGGCACTTCACAAAGTTCAGTCATGTCTAGCAAACCAGTGACTTTTTCAATTCAGTACAGAGGTACTATGAAGGTGTTGAAACTGAAGACAGCAGATGGCGAGACAATCAGTCCCTCAGCCTAGAGAGCCGATACATCTTCAGTATAAGATACCCAGGTATTGTTTTATTCATATATCTGTCGGGACTGTGTACCATTAATACTCCAAAGATTTCACTGCAGAATGTCTTTCAATTCTGTGCTGGAACAATACACAACCCACATTTAGGAGTGGGAAATTCATGACGACATTTCGCTCCGACTTGGACCATTGACAAGTCACACTGAAGCGAGAAGGGGAAAAGGCCAGAAGATATGTATACGAGAGAGGAAGGGGGAAGGAGGGAATGGAAATAGTAGTGGAAATAGAGGTAATGAAAGTGTTGGTGGAGAGCATAGAAAGCGGAAATAATAGTAATAGTAAAAGTAGCAGTGGTAATAGTAGTAGTGGTAGAAGTAATAGTGAAGTTAAGTAGTGAAAGAGTTAGTAGTAGCAGTCACAAATGAACAGGAAAAAAGGGAAGGGAAAGCCGACAGAGTGGGAGGAGAGAGGAGAAAATAGGTGGTGGTTGTGGTTGTAGTGGTGGTAGAAGTAGAAAAAAGAAAGTAGCAGTAATAACAATGGAAAACTAGGGAAGAAATAATGGTAGTGTAGCAGTAGCAATAGTAGAAGTGATAATGGAGGTAGTCGATAAGAGAAGGCGGACTACTGGCCCACGGACGTAGGAGAAAAAAAAGTCAGCGGGAAAAAATCTCGCAATACACAACTCACCCAGACAGAAGACAGGAAAGGCAATGAAAATATAGGAAAGGTGAAGAGGTGAGAAGAGGAACAGACGAAGACCAGGTCAAGTCCCGAGTGTTCTGAAGTTTGTAGCACTTGACAACGTAATAAGAAAGGCAGGCATCAACAGAGACAAAGCAAAGACTAAGAATCAGGCTAGAAATGTTGTGTATAAGGGATGGTTTGACAAGCGGGTGTCTGTGAGGGTTAGAAGAAGGATACACAGTTTTGATAGAGGACCAGTTAATGGGATGACTGTGATCTCTAACATGACAAAAGAACCTTGTTAGTGGCGGCCAGTTTAATACTTTTGTGCCCCTTAAATCCGTCAGAAAGAGTAGCCAGTTTCACCAAAGTATCGGAAAGAACAAAAGGAGCAGTAAATGGAGTAGACTCCAGAAGCATCAGTGACAGGAGAAGTATGAACTAGATTAGCAGAGCAGAGCTAGAGTATGAACTATACTAGTAGTTTATGAAAACTAGAGGATAGCCAAGGCAACAGAACGAGCTGTGAAGAGTTTAAATTTCTGAGTCAAGAAATTAACTCACAGATGAAAGAAAGAACCCTAGGCAGGGAAAGCGTGTTAAGAAAAGTAGTGAATGTACGTGCCACTGTGCACTGGCTTGCGATGAAAGGAAAACGAAAAGCTTGTCACCGAGCGATGGACATGTACATCATGGGAAGGAAGCAACGAGTTCTTCTCATTCAGCTTTGAGATAGATGGAAGAAGCAAGATTAAGTGCATGGAATGAAGGTTGGAAGCGACCAGTTATGTGGCCAGAGAGCAAAGATGTCATAGCGGAGCCAGAGAGATGGACGTACTCCAGTAACAAGTAGAACAGTTTCGAAATGCTCCATATAAAGATTAGCAGGGAGGGATACAGGAACCCATAGTAACACCAGTGGTTTAAGAATAAAACTAATTTTTAAAGGAAAAAGAAGTCGAGTTTACACAAAGTTGAATAATATCGAGAATGACGAAGTAGCACTTCACTGACCTTCATTCTAAGAAAATTGAGAACATCAAGAGGGATGTTAGTGAAGAGGAACTCATCGTCAAGACTTGGCAGATCGAATGTTGCCAAACACGTTCGATGAAGTCTTGAGAGTGAAGGAGGCGAACAGAAGAAGAACCAAGAAGAGGGGTGAGAGTTCTGGCCAGCCAGGAGGCAAGAGCATAACAGACAGATGGGATATAGAGGGATACCAGGTTTATGAGTTTAGGAAGTCCGTAGAAGTAATGTAGAGAGGTAGGCAGGTAGGGACAAATAACACGGAAGCGTTCAACAAGATCAAAATCAGGAGAAAAGAGATAGGAGAGAGTCCGAAGTTGATGGTTAAAAGTTTTGTTGATGTAATAAAGAGGGTTGGAGACGAGAGAAGTGTACACGTGTAAGTCAGAGAGCAAGGATTCAGGTTTTCTGAAGTAGTCCTCGTGATCAAGGACAACCACCGAGCTGTCTTTGTCTGAAGGAAAGGTGACAATAATTAATAGACTTAAGATGAAAGGGCAAGTTGATAGCGACGAAAAAAATGACAGTTCTTGAACAACAGGTTATCAAGGGCACGAATGAGAGCACCACGAAGAGTGGACAAGTCAGCATATTTTGAGTGAGACGAGTGAAAAGAATTGCAGGAGCTAATCAGATCTATGCCAGTACGAGGACTAGGCATAGAGGCAAAGAAAAACCAAAACCAGAAGGTCATGCTGGTGTATGTGTGTGTGTGTGTGTCAAAGACAGATTAGTAATAGTCAGTGAGGAAGAATTGGGACCAAGGGCTGGCGGAGCTAAGACGATGAAATTTGTTCTGTAATGTAGTTGAGTGAATTTCCGAATTAAGGCGAGCGGTGTGGCAAGTAGTAATGGCTGTGAGAAGGTTACCGAGATTATGTTGGAGAGAGGAAAGGAGAGCACATTGTCGTTGATGGAGGCGACTTCATCAACTTGAAATTCAGTAAAAAGTATGAACTGTTGAAGTAAGAGGCGGGAATGATCAGGAAAGGTAGTGCCCAAGGTGTTGAATCTGAGGAACTGGAAAAAGGAAGCGGGCAAAACTTGCTCAGCAAGACGTTACGGAGAAAGTGAAGCTGATTCTTGCGGCGCCTAGAAGTAATAAGAGCAGCTGTATATGAAGGAAAGAGGAATTTAAGGAAAGAGAACATCAAAGGAATCTGAAAGAATGATACGCTTACCTGTGGGTCAATAAGTAATTAAAAAGTCAAAATATTATTGGAACAATACACAAATAAACCCAACTTAGGAGAGCAGAAACTTATGATGACGTTTCGGTCATTATGAGTTTCTGAAGCAAGAAGATAAGACCAGAATACTGTTATTCAAGAGTGAGCGTGGCAAGAAGGTAATGGTAGTGGTGGTGGTAGTGGTGCTGCAGATGCTGCTGCTGATCCTGGTGGTGGTGGTGCTTATGCCGCTGCCGCCGCCGCCGCCGCCATCCCCTCAAGGGAGGTTCCTTGACGCTGATGAGGGGCTCTTTGTCCAGAGAATTGGATCTGTGCACCAGTTCCCTGAATTAAGCCCAAATACTTCCCATATTCCCCCCTGCCACAGGTGTTGTATAATCCCTACGGGTTTGGCGCTCCCCACGAGTATAATACTACTACCACCACTACTACCTCTGATTTCAATTCCATTATCACACCCTTCTTCACTCGCCTACTCTTGTAAATATTCTGGCCTTCCCCCTCTTGCTTCAGCGTCACTGGTCAATGTTCTAAGTGTGTAGTTTCTCCTGTCTTAATGCTGGACGCTTCCAGCAACAAGGCGGGTGCTGCGCTGTCGCTTCCAGCAACAAGGCGGGTGCTGTGCTGTCGCTTCCAGCAACAAGGCGGGTGCTGCGCTGTCGCTTCCAGCAACAAGGCGGGTGCTGCGCTGTCGCTTCCAGCAACAAGGCGGGTGCTGCGCTGTCGCTTCCAGCAACAAGGCGGGTGCTGCGCTGTCGCTTCCAGCAACAAGGCGGGTGCTGCGCTGTCGCTTCCAGCAACAAGGCGGGTGGTGCGCTGTCGCTTCCAGCAACAAGGCGGGTGGTGCGCTGTCGCTTCCAGCAACAAGGCGGGTGGTGCGCTGTCGCTTCCAGCAACAAGGCGGGTGGTGCGCTGTCGCTTCCAGCAACAAGGCGGGTGGTGCGCTGTCGCTTCCAGCAACAAGGCGGGTGGTGCGCTGTCGCTTCCAGCAACAAGGCGGGTGGTGCGCTGTCGCTTCCAGCAACAAGGCGGGTGGTGCGCTGTCGCTTCCAGCAACAAGGCGGGTGGTGCGCTGTCGCTTCCAGCAACAAGGCGGGTGGTGCGCTGTCGCTTCCAGCAACAAGGCGGGTGCTGCGCTGTCGCTTCCAGCAACAAGATAGGATAACAGATTTTTAGTTTTTAAAACTAATGCAGGAATTCTGACCCAAACCCCTGTAAACCCCTTTTAAGTGTAATAAATAGAGGGGAAGAGAAGGAGGGAAGAATGGAAGAAGATGGGATGAAGCAATACGAAGACAGTAAGCAGGCAGCCAGCCATTACTAACTCAAAAGGAAACTGGGTAACACTCTCTTTCCTGGAATCAAATTTAACCACATCTCATTTTCCAGGCACACTATGACCCTGACGGATTTAGGGCTTCCCCATGGGTATTATTACTTGTTTATTATTATTGTTATAAACTATCGAGCTCAGTGTGTTCCGTGTACTCCCGCAGAAGAACACGGGTCAGAATGGAGGAAAGCCACGACTAGACCTGAACGTGGAGGCTGCCTGGGCTCAAGGCTTCACTGGTCGGAACGTCACCACAGCCATTATGGACGATGGTAAGTATCCTGACACTATTTCCTACACTGTTCTCCTTGATGAGGCAACACCTCTTTCTGTTTTCTGTATTCTTGCTGTACCTTTCAATCCTTGCTTCTGTCGCCGCTGGTACTCTCCATGGATTCCTGTTTCCTCTTGTACTCGGGAATCTGAAGTACTTGTGCTTACTGTCAGTAATTATATATAGGTCTGAGGTCCTTTTCAGTAGGCAAGAGCAAGACACATATAGTAGTGTCCGAATTAGAGGTCAGGTAAGCATTTGGGTTCTGTAGTATTTGAGTATTATGTATTCTGTGATTGTGTTTCCTCGCTTCACTGTTCTTATAGCGTCGTGAGTTCCAAATAGTGTGTAGTATTTAATCGTGAGTTGTTTTTCTTCACTGTAAGTAGAGTTCACGTTTTTGTCTCATTCAAGCTCTCTACTTTTCAGGCATCGACTACATGCACCCTGACCTGCGCCACAACTATGTAAGT